TTGCATGGCGCCGGTCGGCAAGAGGGAAATGGGCACCAAGACAGTTGCAGTTTTTCCCAATCCTACGCTAATTCAAAAATTGAAAGTACCATATCCGCGCGTAAAACAGGCGCGGGAAAGGAAGAACGTCTTCCGTCCATTCATATTCTTACAAGAATTCCCAGAGTTTTCAAGGTCGAGGCCGGGAACATCCGCGCGCGGAAGGTCGCGCGACATTCCGTTAATTCCGGGATTTCTAACTGCCGAGCCAAATTCCAAGCGCACTCGTTAAGGCGCGCGAAATTCCCAAGCCTTTTCAATCAAAACAGACAAAAAAAGGAACTGACAGATTCCCACAAGGTACCTTTAATCGGGCACAGACAGAAGGGGGGGTTCTCGGGGTCGAACTGTACACATCTGGATGCAGAGAAAACACGGGAAAAAGGAGGGGGTCCGAAAGATGGCGCAGGTCCGGAAGCTAGTACGTCACATGCAGTCGCCAACTGGGCACCGACCGGTCTTTTTGTGTGAGGGAACGTAGCAACGGTCGGGAGAGATGGTGGTGCGGTCGTCGGGTGGAGTGCGGACAGCTGGAGGTCGTACCTCCGTTTTCCAGTATAGAAGAGGTTTTTATTATCTGATGGTTGAGTCTCCAGACTCTCCACCAAGATTGACGGTAGCAGGTTTTTTTTCGTCATATAGTTCGGTATTACCAGCTCAATGTTCGCAGATGCATCTTACCTATACTGTTGGACAGGTACGCTGGCCGTTTTTGTCTAGGAGAACGTTCAGTTTTTTTTTGTGTCTGCGGTACTACTGGCTCAATGTTCGCAAATGTATCTTAGGGTCTGATCTGACTTCTTACAGGGACATCACTTTTAGGCAAAATTTGGGATTTCCACGAAAGTAGGATCCCACTCCTGAATGTCGGGGATGTGGAAACGGTCTCCTACGTGTAGGCACTACCGTGATCGCCGGGGCGGTAGTTCTTTTGGTTTTTGGGAGAGGCCGACCCCCTCTTCCGTAGCGAAAAAGAGGGCAACAATTTTTTTTTTTTTTTTTTTATCAGTCCAAACGGTAGTCCAGGAATGTCCGCCTTCGGTGGACAGTGTGTGATGGCCGGCACGGTACCAGTCACACAGTTCGCAGGGCCGCACAGGACACCACGCGGTGTCCGAATGGACAGCACGAAACCCGACCCGGCACACCCGCCCACAACAGCCCACCGCTTTCCTCGAAAAAGCACCTCAAACACCGGGCAAGTTGGATTCCATTTTAGTATGATTTTACTTGTACGTCCCTTGCGGACCCGCTCCGCTGAAAGGGGTTCTTTTGGGTTCTTACTAAAAACGGAAGAAGTCGGATCAGGCCCTTAGTTAGCTATGTAGTTGGAGAGGTACGGTGGCTTTTTGAGGACGGCCCTCGCTCCACGTTCGACGGCCCTCGCTCCACGTTCCAAACCGAAAAGGGAATGTGCAAAATGAAACTGGATTCTCGGCCCCTCCACCCCTGCCAAACAGCACGGGAGGCAGGGGCACGGGCAGCGAGCTGCCTGCTTGGGCGAAACGCCCCCCGTCCTGGCCGCGCCCCCACGCTCAGCGTGGTATCCGTTCAAAACCGGTGGTGGGATCCAAGCCTATGAATCTGGACCAAAAACTGCCGCTGTTCTTGCAGTTTTTGGTCCAGATTCATGAACCGGTAGGGCTTACACCGTCCTTGGGCCTCGTTTTATGGGAAAAATTTATACGGCCCAGCTCCTATGGGACTTTTCGATTTCTTGTTCAAAATCCGTAATATTGGGATCCAAGCCTATGAATTTGGAGCAATACCTGCCGCTGTTCTTGCAGTTTTTGCTCCAGATTCATGAACAACACTGTCCTTGGGCCTCGTTTTATGGGTTCGCGGTTACGCCCTCGGCCTCTTCTGCATCGCTATGAATCTGATGCACGTGCCAGATTCACGATCACATGCATGGGACTGTACTATGTAGTACCCACACATAAAGGGAAAAACTTTGGGCGTGCCTAACAACCCAAAAGGTTTTCCGGTGGGCGCTATCTGCCAATAATCCCTTGCAAGCACGCCCGAACATATCTGCCTCGTTTATAGCCAACTGCATGCAATCCATCAAACTCTAGCCTTCCGCCGGTGATTGCAATCTATGGATCCATCCAATCCTCCGTCTCTGCTTACCTCTCTCCCTACTCTACTTGCACCGTCTCTGCAGTCCATCCATTAAACTCTACCCGCCCGCCGGTGACTTCAATCAATCCATCGAAGGGGAAACTACCTGGGAGTCACAAAAATGAGTTATAATTGCACTATGGGACAAGATACAGTTTCAAATTGCAGTTCAGGCAATGTATACAAGCCAGCTTTGTGGCCAGGTAGGGTGCCCGAAGTGCAATTGCAAACTGTATCTTGCCCCCTAGTGCAATTATAACTCGTTTTTTGTGACTCTACTGACATTACCCCATCCGATTCTATCGAATCTTCCGTCTCTGCTTACTTTCTCTCGCCACCCTTCTCACTTCTTCTCTGCCATAATACTACGATCATGATGTATACGAGTATTTCGGTCTTTTTTTTGCCTTAAAAAAGTTTATACCCGAACTGCCGCCGCTCTGCCGGGTGGGTTTGATTGTACATTACTTCCACAATGGTTTCGTCGATGGGTCCCTCCCTCCCTCCATGATGTCGCTCCCATTGTAGCCTGACCCTGTACACATCTCCGATTCTCCATCCAATACCTCGCTCTTGTGATCGTAGTGCTTCCTAACCAAACACAGCTCCTCTGCAGACTGCGTGACTCTGCTCGTAGTGTAGCCCTCGCTTGCGCGAGTCTCCGCACAGGTCGATTGCGGTTCTACACGCCGACCGGTCACGCCTTCCGTATCCCGTACTGAGCGTACTCCTTTTCTTTTTTTCTTTGTTCTTTTGCTTTCGGGGTAACTTCAGTAAGTTCAGTTCAGTCACAAAAAACGGTTTGAAATTACACTTCAGGCAGGCATTCCCCTGACCATACCCCCCTCTCCCCCCCCCCCCCCCCCCCAAAAAAAAAACTTAACCCTACCTGACAGGAAAGCTAGCTTGTATACATTGCCCGAAGTGCAATTTGAAACTCTTTTTTGCCCGAAGACTAATTTCGAACGCTTTTTGTGACCGCCGCGTAGTCCCCCGTTTTTGTTTTAATCCCGGATCTTATCTGACAGGAAAGCTACGGTAGCTTGTATACATTGCCCGAAGTGCAATTTGAAACTCGTTTTTGCCCGAAGCCTAATTTCAAACTCGTTTTTTGTGACCGCCTCGTAGTCTTTCGTTTTCGTTTTAGTCCCCGATCTTACCGATATCTCCAGACTTCGTTAGGATCCTCAAAACTACCGAAAACTTATTCCTTAACAAGTTAACAATAATTCCCGATTCCAACGCAACGAGATCACAAAGCCTTTCACTTCACCTGAGCTTACATCCATTCTCCAACACTCCTCCTTCCTAGTCTATCATGCACACGAGGGCTCGCACGTTCTCTGCCTCCCTCGACACCATCACACAATTCTTCGCTCCTCAGGAATGTAGGGTGACTGCCATCCGTCTAGTATCCCACCTCTACAACAACCTGGGCTTTTATAAAAAAAAAAAGAAAAAAAAGGAATGTACCACACACCACTTGTCTTATCTATATTTGACACACCTCGACATGGGAGAGGTCTTTGTCGACGTGAGTGTGCAATATAGATTATTCAGACATCCGGAAAACAAAAACCTACCCAGCGATCCCAGCCTATGTGGCTGAATGGTAAACGCATGAACTGTTAGTGTAATGAATAGGTTATGCGTTCGAAACCTGATGGAATCAGATGGATACAAGAAGGTTAGGGGGGGCTAGTACCCTCTTCAACAGGAAGGAAGAAGAAGAGGAAGGGGGGGGAGGGGGGGAGGGGAAAGACCTCCCATGCATGTCATTCGATCGAGTACAGAAGAGAATGAACTGAAGCAGAAAAGCAAATGAGACTGCACATAAAACGAAGTGCATGTGTATGAGATCAAGTGTGAAAGAAAGTTAACATGAAAGCAAGCGCAACTAAGGTAAAAAAAAAAAAAAAAAAAAAAGGTACCATCTTGACATGAAAATTGCGACAAAAGAAATGCTGACCACTGCGAGGGGAGTCCGAACAAAATAATGGCCTGCAAGAGATACAAGCCTTGGGCACTAGGCCCTTAAAAAAAAAAAAGAAAAAAAAAAAAAGAAAAGGAAGAAGGTGAGTCTCGTCTTAGTGCCTGCCTCTCAATGTCAGAAACAAAAACTAGTAACGGTATATCAGCCAGCCGAACAAAAGTCAGTGACAAAAACATCTTCGTTAAAGCCACGCGGCCCACGCCCAATTGATCCGGCCCTCCCTCCCTCCCCCCGTTCCTCCTCTCCTCCCTTTCCTTGCTTCCTTGCTTCCTTCCTCCCTCCCTCCCTCCCCCCCCTTGTCAGAACCATGAGATGATCATAGCGACATGTTCCACACCAATGAAAGGGGAAAAAAAAAGGCTTATCATACATAGGCTCAAGGCATGCTCACACTAGCCCCTTATATTAATAGCAGAATCCCAAAATCAGTGCCCAGATCGACTCCTCCTAAAAAACGAGGAGTCGATCTCGCCGGTGATTTTGCGATCATGCGATTATATATATATATATATATATATATATATATATATACAGACCTTTCTTTGTTCCGTGGGTGTTTTGCTGGCTTGTGATGGGGTGTGAACCGACAGTCTGTAGAGTTTTCCATCTGGTGTGGGTGAGTGATAGTCTACTTTGATTTTGGTTAAGGTAGATTATCATTTACAGTGTAATCAGTGAGGGGATTCTGCAGACTGTTGAGGGTTCAGCCTCCTGATGAGTCGGTGAAACTCCGACGAAACAGTTTGTCACAGCCCCTCGTTTGTTGTCCTCTTCTCTCTCTCTGCCTACGGTTTACCCGGGCAGTTCTGTTTGTGACGATATATATATATATATATAGATATATAAAGGGCTTAGTGCGAGTATACTCGCACTCAAGTAAGTCGAATTTCCCGCGACGTCATCACATGACTTGTGCGCGCAGACGTCCGGTGATGTTTTGAAAGGCGCTTCGAAGAAGAGAGACACATGTCGGACACGCACGTTGCAGTATCTGTCTGTCTTCTGCACTCTTTCGAGGATGATCATCACCAACACCACCACCACCACCACGACCATCATCATCATCATCATCATTATCTGCCATGAGAAAACGCCGACTTTCTTCTGGGGAAACGTCGACGATCACTTGCAGGTCCACGATTTTGTTCAGTCCCACGTGGAACACATCCTTTTGGTGGAATGCGATCGGTACCATCCTTGTCTTCGTAGAGAAGAGCCTTTTGCTGGCCACGATGATGTGCTCCTTCTCATTCTTGCCCAACTCCTCCTCCTCCTCCTTCTCCTCAACAGCCACCACCGCCGCCGCCGGCTCAACTGCCACCAAGTGTTCTGCTAATAATCGTCTGCTCTTCCTCCTCCCCCACCTGCAGCTATGGCTCTCGCCGGACTGTACCTCCACCAGACTCACGTTCGCGTTGCACAGCTGTTGCTGTTCTGACCAATTCATCGCCGACACATTACTCCACGTGCCTGTTTCGAACACGAGGGTCCTGTTTTCCGCCAGCGAAAACACTATCTCGTTTGTGTTCGAGAATCCTGCCCTGAACTCCGCCGTGCTATTAACAACCTGTCCGTCGAGTACCATCGGGACCTCCAAGAAACCCTCACCCATGTCCCGGCAAACGTTGCAATAATTGCAAAATTTCTGCGGCCAAAAACGTAGAGGCTGACGAGCGCCGGTCAATCTGTCCCCAAGCTTGATTTGGATATCCAGTATGTCGATCTGACCGCCTGCATCGCCATTCACATAAGGTGTGAGAGTGATGCGATGCAGAAACCCGCCGCAAGAGATTTGTTCGTTCTCCGATTTGGTACCGTACGCATCAATACAGCCGTCGTAGAAGTTTTCTCCGATGAAGCCCACGTCCGTGCACCCCTCTGCTTCGTACACGGCTCGGAATTTACCCCCCTGGGGACCCAGCCTGATGACGGAGATGACATGGTCGGACTCCAGGCCGGTCAAGTACCCTGCTTCCCCGAAAAAAAAACTGACGAGGCCGATCGCAACCCCAAGCAAGGCCATCATGAACACCCTGATGATGACGACTACCCTGCTTCGACAATATCGTATAAATAATAAATAAGGTGTGGTAGTAAAGGATGAATAATAAGAGGGTGTTGACGGACGAGAGAAGCAAGAAGGGAGGAGGAGGAGGAGGAGGACGAGGAGGAGGAGGAGGAGCAGGAGGAGGTCCTGGAGATGTGGTTTTACGTTTGGGTGAGAAAGGGATCGGCACCTTTGCGTTTGTGCAGTGAAACTGTGACACACGGAAGGATTATTTTCCTTCCTTTCTTTATCCTTCTTGCTGAACTGCTTGTGTCACAGATCACTTAACTTCGTTGTAACTGGTAATATTGGCGGAGGCTGGAAAAAAAAAAAAAACTTCGTTGTAACTGGTAATATTAGCGGAGGCTGTTGCTGTTGCTGTTGCTGCTGCAACATGTCCCGGGGCAAGGTCCCACTTGTGCAAATTAGGAGATTTCGGCCGTTGATCTTTGCTATCCTATCTATGGTCAGTATCTCTTAATTCGTGCAAGTGGGACCTAGCCGGCGAAGACAATCCAGGCGGAGTTAACCACAAATAGCCACCAACAATTAGGAAATTTTAGGCAATTGGAGCCAGGAGGTTGATTCCCCCAAAGGGCCAAAGGCAACGACAATAAATGACAGACATTTTCACTTGATGCTAATTGCTTGTGCGACACGTAACTCCGACGAAACACTGGAGCAGGCTCTTTCTTTGGTTATGGTAGAATATATTCTTTCTAATTCTTCTTCTCCTCTCTTTGCTTTGCTCTTCCCCGTTGTTGGCGTATTTCATTTTGCGGACCTACTGTATGGATCCGACTTTTTACTATGGTTATGGCAGAATTTGTTTTGGTAATTTTTTTGGCACCCTTGTCTGCATCCCGGTTGGTTTCGTCCCGTTGTTCGGCTTACCGTAGGGTAGGGTGTCGGTGGTGGTGAGTCCATGTGGGACCTGTCATCCGGGTTTTTTTATCCTTTTGGCATCCTAGTTGGCTGTTTCCC